ACCTTCCCTCCATTGCCAGATAGATTCCTGGACTTCATTCTGATGGGACTGATTGCGGGATCCAGGAATGTGGGGTATCCTGCTGGGCGTAAATCAGTTCATCCTTGGAGTTAAGAGAGAGTTAATTCCACCTAAATCTTTTTTGCTGAGAGTGGGCAGGAGTAGTTATAAAAAGGGAAATTGGGGTATTGTTTTACCAGAAGAAGAATAACTGGATGCAAGGAGGCAAAAATAACAAACTTCCTCTTTCTAGCGTGTTAATAGGAAAATTCTAAGCTATCCAGAAAGGTGGACTGAGGAGTGATATCGGAAGGCTTTGTTAAAAAGCCCAAACTTGGACATCCTTTGAAGGGTTTTAATAAGCAGTTATCACCCAATGTTCACGGGAAGTTCTCTGGTGGTGTTTAAGATTCAACAATTTGAGGGACTAACAGGTGGCATGGTGGTTAATTAAGGGTGCTGGACTCTCACATGGCTGACCACAGTTAGAGTCCCAGATTTGGCGGCTTAATTTATCACTTTTCCTCTCTCTCACTCTGTCTCTCTCTGCTCAAATCAAAATAAATAAACAAAGTTAAATAAGATAATTATTTTTTTTAAAAAAAGATTCAACAGTTTGAATAAAACGTGTGTGTGTATGTTTAAGATTTGAAAAGTGAGTAGATGAGTACCTATTATTTTAGTCCTTATACTTTCTGTTACGTTTGGAATATTCCACATTCTAAAGTGAAAGTACTGCATGGACTTGGTCACCATTATTAGTGCTCGCCAGTGTACCTTTTTTTCTCCTTTCAGGAGTGCTGCAGATTACTCACTTTGCAGGTAGGTGGGCCATATGACTAGGTAGTAATAAAAAATGATGTATGGTTCTTCTGGGCTGAGGAACAAAAGGTCTCATGCAAATTTTCTGCTCTCCCTTCCCCTTCAGGGTGATAGTAGAGGCCAGATATTGAGGTGGTGGAGACTGAAGAACAAAGCAACCTGGATCACCGAGTCACTGCATGGATGTCAGCTATCTTGGAGAGTCATCCATGTTCTGGTATTGATTTCTGTTGTCAAACTACCCCAACACTTGCTAGCTTAATACAAAGATTTGCTATTATCTGTTATAGCTCTGTGTGGGCTGACTGGGCTTGGCTGGGCAGTCTTTGTGAGAGTCTTAAGGTTGCAGTTAGTTGTTGGTTAGAGTTGAAGTCACCTAACAATCCATCTGAGCTGGATGTCCAAAATAACTCTTATCTCTAGCTGGAGTTGATAATAGCTTGCCTTTTATTTTTTTTTTTTTTAAGAGGTTTTTGCTATAGGGTGCGTGTGCTCACCAGAAAGACGGAGACAGAGATACAGAAAATGAGAAAGCGCCCCCCGGGGGGATGGCCATACTGCAACCCCTTCTCCTCCATTCTCTTCTTGGGATCTTGGGCACGCACGCACACTTGCCCGGCATGAGTTTAAGCCACCGGGTCTGAGACTTGAACCATGATTGACTTACATGGGAGTCTAGTGACAGCCATTTACGCCAATGGCTGGTCCCAACAAACATGTAGTTCTTAATAGGTTACATTGATTCATCTTTGGATCTTTGCTTTTGAAAAGTTTTATTCTTAAAATTTTTCTTGCAAGCCCCCCTAATTATTTTCATTCTCCAACTGACTGTGGACAATGCCTAAATTTATATATTCATTCTTGATCTCTCCCCTTACTCCGGACATGATATCACTATTTTAAATCACTAATAAGTGCTTTAAACTAAATTTACCTAGTGATTCTTTTCTTTTTTTTTTTTCTCAGTTTTTGCCAGAGTGTACATATGTTAACCAGAGAGAGGGAAAGTGACAAATCATCCCCTAGAGGGGATGGCCTGACCACAACCCCTTCTCCTCCTGTCTCCTTTCAGGATATTGGGCATGCACACACACTCACCTGGTGTAATTTTCAAGCCATCAGGTTTGGGACTTGAACTTTGGTCAGCCATGTGGGCGTCCTGCACTTTAACCACTCTTTCACTTGCTTGCCTCTCTAATGAGTCTTGGTTTTTCTTTATTTTTTCAACCAGCTCCTTTCCTTGATATTCTTATTAAATTTTGAAAGAGTTTTTTATTTTCTCCATGACCAAGAGAAAGACACAGAGAGAGAACAGAGAGGCAGCACCCGAGCAGGGTCTCAATGACACAAGCCACCCCACCCTCAGCGGGTCTTAAATCATGCATGTGCCCAATGTACTCAGGAAGGTCTCGGAACATGAACCTGGGACCTTCCCTTGGGGGGTTAGCCTAGCATTTTACTGCTGCACCACTGCCTCCTCCCCACCCCAGACATCTTTGTCTCAGTAGTTAGGACCACATTCTATCCAATTGCTCATGCCTAAATGCAGATTCATTCTCATTCCTTCCATTCTCTCACTCTCTTGCAGCTATCAATAGTTAGCAAGTACTACCTATTCTACCTCCAAAATTTACTTCACTTGCCCATTTCCCCCCCTTTTTTTTTTTTTGGAGAGGTTTTTGCCACAGGGCACGTGCACTCACCAGAGAGAGACAGAAAGTGAGAAATCACCCCCCAGTGGGGGATGGCCATGCTTCAGTCCCCTTCTCCTCCATTCATTCTCCTCTCGGGATCTTGGGCACGCACGCACACATGCCCTGTGTTAAACAGTTTAAGCCACCAGGTCTGGGACTCGAACCGCGGTCGACTACATGGGAGTCCAGCGACACAGCCATTGCACCAGCTGCTGGTCCTGTCCATTTCTTTTTTTTAAGAAAAAAAAAATTGCTGCAGGGTGTTCAATGAAAAATTTTGCTACATGTACTTGTTGGAAAGAGATGGAGAGAAAAAGAGAAAGTGAAAAAGCACCCCCCAGGATGGCTCGCCACACTGCCATCTCTTCTCCTCCAGTCTCCTCTCAGGATTTTGGGCAGGCATGGGCATGTGCTGGGTGTGGTTTTCAAGCCATCAGATCTGAGAGTTGAACCACATAGTTGGCCATGTGGGATTCAGCTGCCTTAACCACCATGCGCTGCCTGGCTCCCTCACTTGTCCATTCGGTGCTTTTTTTTTTTTTTTTTCCCATTTATTTACTTATTTTTACATTTTCCCACAAACATTTACTTTACATATCATAAAATTTTTGCTCATACTCCATAGTTCTTGTCAGTTAATAAACAACTTTCAAAATTTTAGGATACTGAATTTTAAAGATAATGTTCAAAATATTTCTTATAATTTCATATAATTCTGTTTGTGACTGTATAACAACAGAAACAGTATGGTTTTGAATATTTTTGAGAAAATATTTACATGTCAACTACTCAAATTGTTGGAAAGCAAATGTCCGCATACTAGTCACACATAAACCTTCTCAATTTCCATTTAGTTCTTTCCAGAGCTGCCACACTGGTCCAAGCCATCATCAGCTTCCTCTGAGTTACAGAAATGGCTTGCTCCTCTACCCACCACACTGATCTTTTTCCTCTGAGTTCTCTATAAGCTCTTTCTACTCGGAACCTTTGTGCACACTCCTCTCTTGGCCTGGAACACTTTTCCCTAGCTCTGCCAAAGGCTGTCTCTTTCGCTTCTTTCCATTCAATTGTCATCTCCTTAGAGAGGCTGTATAACCACCTTTTCTAGAATAGCCAGTCACTTTCTATTCAATACCCTACGGTGACTTCAAAACTTTTATAGAAGAGTGGTTGAGAGTATGTTTTTGGGAGAGGGGCTAGTGTTGACTTTGGCTAGGAAATTTATCCTTTTTTTGAGAAGAAGAGAGGTTTTCGCTGTAAGGTATGTGCAACAGAGATAGAGAGGCATAAAGTGAGAAATCATACACACACACCCCACCAGGAGGAATGGCCATGGCGCAATCCCTTCTCCTCTATTCTCTTTTTGGGATTTTGGGCACACATGCACGTGTGCCCAGCATGAGGTTTAAGCTGTTGGGTCTAGGATTTGAACTGTGTTCGACTAAGAGGGAGCCCAGCGATGTAACCCTTATGCCATCTGCTGATGCCAGCAAACATCTTAAAGATATATTTGCATGACAGCTTACAAAGAACTGAGACATTATCAGTTGTCTTTCTCAAAAGAAGATTAATGGCCATGGTGACGTTGATAGGTATTACTGGGCTTATGTACCTCTTACCCTTAAACTGTCCTAGGTGACATCATGTACCGACCATGTTTATTTCCTTTGTCACACTCACTGTTGTCTGCGGTTACCTTGTTTACTAGCTGTCTTTTCTCCCCTTGCTAGAATGTAGGCTCCACGAGGACAGGGACTTTGCCTGTCTTTTCTACCTACCCTACCCATGCCATCCCCAAGAACAATACCTAGTTCATAGCAATTCAATAGAACTTTTGGGGGAAACGAATCAACTCATATATACATAAATAAGATGAATACACTCAATCTTTTCTTTCCACCCAAAGCTTATCCCCAAATAAAGGTTCTCATGGATTATTTTGGTTTCCAAATCCATGATGAACATTTTTTAAAGAGGTTTTTGCCTTAAGGTGTACTCACTAGAGAGAGAGAGAGACAGAGAGAGACAGAGGGAAAGTGAGAAATCACCCTCCTTCCTGGAGGGGAATGGTCACGTTGCAATCCCTTCTCCTCCACTCTTCTCCCAGGATGTTGGGTATGCACACATACGCCCCTGGCGTGAGTTTCAAGCCACCGAAACTAGGACTCAAACCGTGGTTGGCCATGTGGAGTCCAGTGATGTAACCACTATGCCATCTGCTGATCCTGAACACATATTTATTTTAAAGAATAATTTACTTAATTTTATTTATTATTGTTATTATTATTATTATTTTAAGTTTGTCCAGGGAGAGACAGAGAGAGAGAGGGAAAGTGAGAAAGCAAGCTGCCAGATCTGGGACTCTGACCATGGTCAGATGTGGAAGTTTGGTGCCTCAACCACCATGCCACCTTCTAGCCCTGACAATGAACATATTTATATTTCTATGTATGTACAAGTTATCCATTTATGGAAAAGTCAAATGCATATCATGACTCTTTGCAGGGAACAGATTAGGTGAAAATATACCAGGGATGGTATGAAAGACAAACGACAGGGGGACCATTCAGTAAATAGAAACAGTGGGAAGACGTTGCATAAAGGAAAGAGACCATTCAGAACTGCATCATCATCAAAAGCTATTTAGGGGTTTTCAGATCAAAATTTGCTTTCCAACACTTAGAAATTTTGACCCCAGTTTTGGAAACAGTCCTCTGTACCATGTCTCTAGCCGTGAGACTATGTCTCTTGCCACTGTTCCCTGTTTTCTTGACTGTCTTGGCCGTATAGCCACTTAGTTTCATTTCCAAATTTTGGTTTCCTTTCCTAAAAGATGACTGCCTACTGTGTGAGTCATAATGGAATAAATAGTGATGGACGTGCTGAGGTCCAGTTGAGGTGGAGTGAGGCAACTGCTCTGCAAGAAGCATAGACCCTTCTGCCTTTATTTTAGAGAGTGATTTTTGCTAAAGGGCACATGTGCTCACCGGAGAGACAGAGAGACAGAAAGTGAGAAATCTCCCCCTGGGGGATGGCCATGCTGCAATCTCTTCTCTTCCAATCTCCTATCAGGATTTTGGGCGCACACGCTCACATGCCTGGAGTAAGTTTAATCCGCTGAATTTGGGACTTGAACAGTGGTTGACTAAGTGGGAGTCCAGTGATGTAACCATCACACCATCTGCTTGTCCCAGACCTTTCTGTCTTAGTTTACTCCTGTGTTGTGAGCAGAAATATTGGAGACTGAGCAATTTATAAGGAAATAGTTTATCGACTCATGATTCTGGTGGCTGGGAAATCAAAATGCAGCGGCCTAGCTTTTTTCAGTTGCGTTTTGAGCCTGCCTTACAACATGACTGAAGGAAGCAGGGAGGGTGGTGGGTACATGCAGATAGCGAGTTGTGGGCAGTTCTCTCTTTTATAACAGCTTGCTTTTGTGAAAACTAACCCCTTCTTACAAGAGCTAAAACTCAGTTCTTTTGAGGGATAATGTTAATCCATTTGTAAGACAGGTGTCTCCGTG